GTATGGAATTCCGATCTTGCATGATTCCCACCAACAAGGTTTCTTTGGACCAGACTCACAATGGTTTTGAAGGAGAATGCCGGCCAGAACATTCTTCTGCAAATGTCATGGAAGTCTTGCTTCACCTCATTTCCTTCTATTACCGATTTTCCCCAAGGTGAAGGTGAGGACAGAAGTTTCCTGGTAACCTCCTGGAAAAGGTAATGGTCGTCCAGCCGAATAGACAAACCATTGTTCACATAAACTACATCAACTTTGGTGTTCATGATAGTTTCAGCCCAACTTATCTCCTCTAGGTTATCCAAGTCCTTCATGCAGCAAAACACTGACGAAATCTTCCTGTTGACAAAGTCTTCATGTCCCTGTTGGCTGGCACGGGGTGTTACACCATGCAGGAGTGGTCCCAATTCCACTGGCATTGAGTCCCACTGTTCTTGTTCGTAATACGCGTCAGCTTTCAATAGATCCATGTACAAGTCAACAGTCTCCCCAAAGTGGGCCTCAAAGATTTGTTGGTACATGGCACTTGCTTTATCCATGCCATCTTTCAGCTTGTCCGTAGAAATGCCAAGCTTTTTTTCCATGTCTGGCATCATCTTGAACACACTGGCATCCTAGGGTGGTGCCAGGGTGTGTGCATTCAATGTGTTCTTGATGTCCTCCAATGCCGTTCGTTGTTCAGAAGATAAGTTCACGTTCTGCCTTTCCAAAGACACAATGAAGGAGACGATTTTCTGGGACAAGAACCAAGTTTTGTCTACCAAGGCAATCTTAGCCATTGGTTTTAGCAGTTCGTATCTGAAATCCGTCCCTTCTTTGGTTTTATCAGCAGAAGAAGTCCCAGCAATTGAATCTGTTGAAACATAACACAAAATTAAGTACAGCATGTACAAGTTTGCATCTAATGTGAAAATTTCAACACATTACAATTATACAACGAGAAAGCATTTATGACACAATGTTATTGAAAAAAATGTATAATGATTGGCTATATTTACCTTGGCTGGTTGTGCTGGAGGTTGAAGCAAGGCTTCCTTCAGTTGCCTCACAATCTTCTTCTGAAGCACCTTCACTGTCCAAATCTGCAACATAAATCAATTCATAATAAGTTCAATTTGTAATAAACCTCAGTAATTATGAACGGCAACACAAACGCAAATACATTAATCATTACAAATACATTAAAATAGATTATTTAATAATTTGTAATCTAATTGCTGCTGTGAAACGGAGAGAGAATTTTTGCTCCTCCAGTTACAATGCTACGCAAGAATTCTTGCTTGGCGCGTTCAGCAAGATTTTTTGCTCTTCCATGCTATTCCAAGGCTATGCAGGCAAAGGGAGAATTCCCGTGTCAACTTTTATTACAAACACATATCCCCAACACATTAAAAATGGAGCAGAAATTACAATAGTACTCGCCTTGAATTAGTGCATCCTGTTCACATTGTTCTTGCTCCAATGTTATTCATGAGACTTCCACATCCATTTTCTGAGGCTCGACACATTGCAGCTCAACAAGATCTACTTCATCCTTGCTTTCTTCATCTTCAACGTTTGAATGTCCTAAAAGACGTATATATAATGTAATTATGTTGATAACATTTTAAGAAAGTAACATATCTCCCAAGATGTCCCAATAATGTTAAGCATTCATTCAAAACCCGGGAATGCCACAATATAGTACTAACCTATTATTTCCATTGGTGTTGCTGGTGTTCCTGGTGTGTTCAGGTTTGACGAGCGGGGGCTCCAACATGAGGGAACAGGTGAGGGTCCAATGTCCTGCACTTCCTGCCCTGCTACCACACTTTGAACCTCTTCCTTCTTGAAGGCCGGAATTTCCGTTAGTTCCGTGATTTCTGTGGATCGGAAAGTAGTATAATTTAATAGTGGATACATATTTGAATATGTAGATTTTTGAAAGGTATGAAAATTGAACCTTCTTCCTGCATGAAATTGCTGTGTCTGTAGCACCTTGAATGACAGATCCTCTGTCAAGTACGAGTAATCGAATACGGGTTGAGGCGTATTTGACCGGGAACTGACCTGGCCAAAGGAGCAGTATGCCTCTCGGGTAATCCGAGCCATCAACAGCAGCAAATCCCCGATTACCAGCACGCATTGGCGGCAGTTGCTGAAACCCCTGGGCACTGGCAGAATTCTCAAATACTGCACGCACCGGAACCAATAATTGGCGACAGTGCAGCCCGGCGTCGGAAGCTGGAAACTCCGCATGGAGTCGGGACTGATCGCCGACAGCGCCCTGATGCTCACGCACATTCCGCATGTACGTCATTGGATCTTCCGGCTCAAAACGCCAGGTCTCCGTCAGAACCTCAAAATGTTCCGCTTCAGGAACATCTGCAACTGCGCAGACCAAAACAACAAGCGTTACAGTGGCTCTAGCCGACCCTTCCCATTATCACTTACTTGGAGGCACCGGCGCTCGTGGCGGCGGTGCCGTCTCGTCCTCTCTCATGGCCAAAGGTTCCCGCCGCAGCATCGATTGGCGACAAGATGGCGCTGCTGGTGCCTCCACTGGACGCGGGGCAGAAACAGCCGCAGCTGCGGCCTCGTCAACTGCAGCAACCCGCGGGGCATCTTCAGCTCACGTCCTGGCGTACCTTGCCGGCACAACATCCATCATCGGCCCCCACACAAACTCGACACTCGGTGTCGTCGCCATTCGCGCCATCCAAAGCACGCCTGTTTTCAAAAGCCACTGCATCAATCGCAGGGCACTGCTGCTTAGGCATGCAGGACACTCACCTTCTCGTTGCACAACAATCTCTTCCTCCTGCAGGATCACCTGCCCGCCGGCAGGAAACGCCTGCCCCAAGCTTTGCAAAGCGACGCAAGTTGCAACACGGAACTGAGCGGTGACACGCCGCATCAACTCCTGCTCCCGCGCGGCATTCTCGGCCTCCACCGAGCAAAGCCAATGGCGAAAAGACTCTACCACCTCGATGGCCATCGTCATTCCCTGGACGGACAATTGCACGGAGCTGAGCTGTTCATGCGCCGCCTCAGTGGCCGCAGTCTCTTGGCGAAGCTGCTCCTCCAGACATAGACAGTGAGCGGTCGCGGCGTTGATGGATGCCGCCATTGGCATCAGAGCCACGAGGTGTTGCCAGCTGTCTTTCGTCAGACCAGCAAGGATAGAGGCGTTGGCCTCCACAACCTCTGGCAGCCGGACACTCAGCGCCGCGGACTCCCCAGTCACGGGCACGTCCTCCACCGCCTCGACGGCAACCTTGACAGCCGCCCCAGATGACGCTTTGGCCTCCGCAGCCTCCTTGATCACCAGATCAGGAGGTGTCTTGTCGGCGTCCTCTGCGACAGACCAGACAAAGCAAAATTCAAGGAACAATCACGGATACAAGGGCTGAGCCACTTACCTGAGATGCTCAGCTCAAATACGTCCTCCTTGAAAGCCCCAAGTTTTGGCTTTGACGGCGGATCGCCACTGTGTTTGCGTTTCCTTCCGCCGTCCATGATCTGGCACGCGTCAAGCCCACAATTTTTTCTTCTCCTTTCTGTTGTGGCACCAGCGTCGAACGCAACCTGTTGAAAATAGCGCAATCGCACGCAATCACTCTTGTTCTTTGTAATGCCACGGTTCTCTTTTGTTTTGCTTTTGCAATCTTTTCTGCACTCTTCTTGATTTTTTCGGTACGCGAGTCGCCTGAAGGATCTGGAGAAACCAAAAGAAAGACCACAGCTCAAACCACCGCCTCTGACACGGAAAGGAGAAACACTGAGTCGCCTTGCGCCGGTGCAATGCTGGATCCCTTGGGCTCCTGGAGCCCTCAAGGATGCGCATGCATGACCGGGGGCCAATCTCTTATCGAGACGGCCGTCATCGCATTTGTACGAATTGCGACGGGTACCCTGAGGGCTGCTCTGCCAGCAACAAGACGGTAGGACCGCCGGCCCATCTCTGTTCTCTATCATTACAGGGGGCCCCCCAACGCGAAAACGCATGCGCAGCAGGACCTGATTGCCGGGATGCAGTGCCACGCAGTACGCAGGACAAGAAAACGGAACAATCTTTTCCAGCACAAAGACCCCGACACTGGTCCTCTGCCTTCTTTAAAACACTTCTTTGACATTTGACTACACATTCAAAGCTTTTTTTACAGCACTTCTGACAAATTGGGGACTTCCGCCCCTGGCGGGATCCCCAACTTGAGTGACAAACTTCTCCTCTCTCCTCCTCAGGACCCCCTGGTGTGCCTGCGCGCCACCATTTCTTGGACCTGGACTGATTGAGGACGCTCCGCGTCCCCCGGTGCCACCGCACCCGCAGATCCCCAGCCCCCGGCGACCAGCGACATATATGCAACCCTGTTTTGGGGTCCTTTGGCCGTCTCCAGCCTCTTGGCCGTCGTCAACCAAAGGGGGGGATTTTGTGGGGTCGCATCCACGCGGCGTGACCCGAGCGTAGCATCCTTGCTTGGGCACACCGCGCAGCAACGCCAGCACGCAGACCGGGAAGCGGATAGGGCACCCGGTTTGCCGCATTGCAGTAAACCGGGTCAAGAGCAAGAGATAAGAAATCTCCGGCAGCGGAAGCTGGCACCAAAGTCTTTGGGACTTCGGGAAGTCATTCAGATTCAAGATTCACTCCTAAGAGCTTGTGTGTGCTTACAGCGGTTCATCTTAATTACGGCCTAGCGCAATTGTCTGTACCTCTGTGTACTTATTACCCTTCTGCGGATTTCTGTGTGTCTGGATTAAACTGCTGCTTTCTAAGGGACTCTACTAAAGAGGATCCAGCCGTTAAAGGCTGACTGACTGTGTCCATTCCTTTATCTAATTATTTGTCATCAATTGGCCTGACACCAACCTTGTCTTCACCTGAGTGCCTGACTCCACTTTGTACTTCAGGAGAAGAATTGTCTGCAGGATCCATGATAGGCTCCATCTTGTACATAACAGAGGGAACTTCTGCTGTTTCTGTTGGAATTACAAAGGTAATCTCTTTTATGTGCATAAGCATTTCAGGCTTTTTAAATAAATTCAACTCATACTCACTGTTTCTCTTCATAAAGATGATGATCTTACTCTTCAATGCATTGATAGAATCCTGTTTTTTTATCTGCTGTCATTTTTGTCCCCAACAGTTTTTTGTAAGCGTCATCAGCCTTCTTCAAGTCCAATTAGATCCTCCAATAATTTGGCAAGGAGTCCATGGCCTGAACTTTTTTTGAAAGCATCATACTTGAGCAATATGAGGATAATAACCCTTAAATCATACTTTCATTGTAACAAGTAGTGGAGATTTCTTGCACAGTTATGCTTTTGAAAACGTGAATGTCACTCATATTGCCTTGAAAAATTTGATAAACATATTCTAAGAACATAACCTAATATCACCCAATGCAAAATGTAACAACGCCGCTCATATCACACAACAAGTCAAGGCAAAATACACAATGCAGCTCAGAACACCAACACACAACGCGGCTCAGTAGATTTTTTCTCAAAACTCTGAATCAACAAAAAGCTTCTCCCTTTCACTCACTCTTTGAATACTGCAAGAATTGAAAATGTACAACTCCCTAAAATTCATGCAAGTCTCTTTAGCCTAAAGGTTTATTTTCACAAGCTGAAGGAAACCATCAGGTATCAAAGAATGGAACAAAACTGAGTCAGGAAGTCCTTGACAACTGAAACTTTATACACTCCAGAAGAAGTTACCCCCTCAGGATCATTTATGGGAGGAACACCTGAACAATATCCAGTTTCTTGAATATTTTACCAGCAGTCAAATGTCTGCTAAATGACCAGGGGGGGGGGGGGTGCATGACTAATTTCACAGTGCAAGAAGGAAAATACAGAGCAGGTCCTAAAATCCAACTCAGTTCCAGGAAAAATTGGCGAGCAGCTTCACTTCCAAGATTTATGAGCATCACTTTCTGCGCCTTGCACTTCTTAACTGAGAATGACTTGTTGGAATACTGCACTTTTTCTATTCAGCTTGTTTTGATGAGCTTTTGTTTTTTCACTTGAGAAAGTCTTGTTTTAAAAACAAAAGGGGGGTTTTGTCAAAAATAAAAGTAAGGGGTGTTTAGAAGTAACAGATTTGCTGAAATCAGCAAATGTTGCTAATTCTTGAGGAATCTTGTGGGACCAGAGTTGACCTCAAGTTCCCACAATCTTCATCCCAAACATCATACTGTCCTTCAGAATTTGTTTTTGCTAAATCCTTGAGCATCAAGGACTTTTTCTATATTGAAATAGTTTTCCTGTTTGGTGAAAACCAACAGACAAATCAATTGAGTCTTGATCTTCAAATTGTGCAGCCCTCACAATAGTCCGGTTTTTGAGTTGTGGTTTTTATCCTATTCCTCTACTTTGAGTCACAGTTGCTTATTCTCTCCTGTCTTGTGAAACATTGTTATTAGTTTTCAGAGAGAATATATCATTTTATACTATGACTTCTTAGTCCCAGCCACAGCTCAGCTGGTTGCAGTGTTTTCTTTTCCATATTTTTGTAGTTTTTTCATAAGTTTGATTTTCAGAAGTCAATTTGCTGTTCAATCTCTTTCTAATCTTTCAATCAAAAGGAATTCAATAATCCTACCTTCCTTGTCTAGAATGTATTTCTGACCTTACATGCACTTTCTAAAAAAAACGAGTCCTGAAAACCAGGAAATTTTCCATGGTGAAATTTTGTGCAATTCCTGAATTCACAATGCAAAATACTGAAGTAAATATCTTGTCAGTTTTTAAGATACAGTATTATTCAATTTCTCAAATTTTAAATTGCAAAGTTTTCTACAATTTTGGTATTCACAAAAATGTTGCTGAATCTCTTACTTTGCAAGATATCTCAATTTCTGAAAAATATCTTCTCTGCCAAATTGCATTGCTGACAAAATTAGCCCACATTCTTGCTCTGATGAAAAATGCACCAAGTCCAGGCGCAGAAATGAAACAAGCTTGTCTCACTTGGGCCATTCAAAAAGTGAAATTTACAGTTGGTGCAATAGTTGTAGCTGCTGGGTTTAAGCAAAAGTTCATGCTGCAAAAATAAAACATGTTTCTATTTTTTAATAAAACCAAATACCTTATGAACAATACCCCAGATATCCAATTGTATCATACCCACTAATGAATATTCATTCCTGGCCAGGTGAAAAAATCATATTCCTTATACTCCCTCAAAGGCAGACAGCACTTTTCAGAGTGCTTATTCAATAGTTAAAAACCGTTTGTATGGTATATACATTATGATCAACTTTTTGTTCCAAAATGAGATTGAGAGTTCTTCTGCGTAAATTATGCCTTCATTTCAATGATTATGACAATTTTGTGTCCTGAGGATGAAGTCTGTTCATCATTATTTTTTTGTGGAAAATTCTGCAACTGTTTCTGAAAATTGGTTGAGATTACTCATTTGCCCATCCTGTTGGTTTTGAATGACTTGATATTCTTGTGCTCCTGGTTTGGCCAATTGATCATGGGATCTGAATCACGGAGGAACAAAGTAAGGTGAGGCAATGGTGTAAATGAAAATGGAGCAAAGTAACACATCATTGGTTTTCCATCAGATGTGAAATTGGACATCCAGCCCCAATATACATGCTTATTCCTGCCTGCATTTTTTGGCACACAGACTGCAGCTCAACAAAGGTATTGAACAGATGAATGATCTATGAAATTTTAGGTATTGAAGTTATTCTTGTATATGTTTCAGCAGGGACCCTTTGGTTGTCTTGGGTGCTTTTGATTGGTTGGAGAAATTGCAGACTGTTCATCATGAATAGGCTATGACTCACGGGGATGTCATTGGCAGAGTCAAATTTCAATTCCATCATAGAAATTGGGGAGAAACCAACCCAAATACTGTTCAGGAACAACTTATGACTCCTCAGTGCCTTTTTAAACCAGCCAATTTTATTCATGGTGGATGAAGAGGTAGTTATGGATTATATTTTCCTCAATCTCTGACTTGGTAAGCAGAATTGATTGCATTCTGATGGAATTTACTGCATAATATATGGTTATATTTTCTTGAAGGGTGCTGTGACTCCTAGCCTGCAGTCTGAGGATTCTGAATACCATGATGGCGAAATGGATGGCATTTGTGTCTACTTCTCCACCCCAGCATATATGGACTCTTTGATCCCTTGTGGCTCTTATTGTATGTTCCCCATTATTGTTGATTTTCCCATGTTTCAAATTGATGAACAATGGAAAAATTGTATTCTCATTTTTTTTCTCATTGCAAAGTTGATGGGCACAACTTTGTTTCTCTTTTCAAGGTTTAAGCTTACATGTTGCATTGAAATTTGTCAATGACACAGTTTATGAAATGATTGGGATACCAAAAGCTTACTTAACTGGGCTCTTGAGCTGCTAGGGATTTGCTTCTGTGAAAGTGCTAAGGAAATCCCCAAATAAGAAGTCACCATTTAATCAGCAATTTTTTGTGGATGACCTGAAAGGGTTGGGTTGTTTATCAATGATTCAATTTTTTCAATCATTGGATTATCATTTTTAAACACTATACATGTTACAGCAATTTTGGATGAGTGAATCTTATTTTCTGAAGAGGAACATCAAAGCAGAAAGAAGGTCTATTGTTTCTGTCAGTGCTTATGTTGTGGGTTGTTTTGCCATCATTTACCAGATAAATTTTGGAAGATTCAAGCTTTCTGAAGAAAGGCATTCATTAGCCATGACTTTGTATCTATACAGCCTATCAGTGGTACCACATGGTATTTTCTACATGTGAGGATACCATAATATCCTCCAGAACATCTGGAAAATATTTTAGGAGAACATTCCTTAGGAGAATTTCATTAAATAAGCATTCCAATACATAATATAAATGAGTAGTTATCTTTCTGATTGCATGATTTGATCAGGAAATGCAGGTATCAGTTGTGTAAATAATTCCTCTTTTAGCATTGAATTCCATTCCACAAAACCAACAAATACTTGTGCAGATATCAGACGGGTGTATCACTGATTTGATCATAAAAGAAAATAGACCGATCTCCTTGAAAATGAAAGATCTTGAACAGCAAGTGCTTCCACTATATTAGCAGTGACTATGGCTAACTGGCATTCATGCTGTTGATAGATTTTCTTGACATTTGGATGCAATTTGATCCTGAAAGATTTTTGGCTCTTGCTGATTGTGGTGCTGCATCAAGGAGTATGCACCATGCTGGAAATTGGATTCATGAACCTGGACTGCTGCACATTTCATGCATGTATTCAACATTACCAGCCTTTGAAAGTACACAATTTCTGATCCATGGACATGCAGGAACTGAATACATGGTTCAGAACAGCATCCAAGAACAGGTAACTTCACAGTTCAAGATTGATTATAGCATTATTTGTCACTTCAAGAAAGTCCTGCTGAAAACTTGGCATCATGGGCTTGAGAGCAA